CTGGTACGAGCACAATGTGCACTTACATTAAAAAAGCAAAAAGCAGAAAAACCAAATATAACGAAAGAGGAACTAAAAGCACTTCAAGACATAAAAGCAGACAAATCCATTGTCATTACTCAAGCAGACAAAGGAAACACAACAGTATTACTTAACAAAACAACATATAATCAAAAGATGAATGAACATCTACAATCTGGACCCTATACCATAATGACTAAATCAGCTGAAACGATCATCAACAAAACAATGAAAGAAACAGCAAATGTAGTTAGACAAATGAAAGAAGTAATCGGTAAGTCAAAATGGTTTGAAATTATGCCAAAATCCTGTAATGTACCTAGGATATATGGTAAGATAAAATTGCATAAAGAGGGATATCCAATAAGACCGATTGTAGACTTCAGAAACACACCAACGTATATGCTATCCAGATTTCTGTCGACAATACTAAGACCGACAAGAGACAACTCAAAAGCTAGAATAGTAGATTCATTTGAATTAGTGAGGCGAATAAAAACCACTAAAATAGATGAGGAAGAAATACTAGTTAGCTTTGATGTAAACAGTCTTTACACGAAAATACCCATTCAAATGGCCATGATTGCACTGAAAGAGAAACTAAATGAAGATAATGACCTGAAAGACAGAACACAGTTATCCGTAGAAGAAATAATAAAAGGGGTAGAATTCTGTCTGACAACAACATATTTCACATTCGAAGGAAAAATATACCAACAAAATGAGGGAGTAGCCATGGGATCGCCTATCTCACCAATTATAGCTGACATTTTCATGGATTATTGGGAGGAGAATGCCCTTAAACCATTCAGATCATCACTAAAATGTTGGTGGAGATATGTAGACGACACGCTAGTAATAGTGAAAAAAAACGATACTGAGAAACTTTTATCACACATAAACAAACACGTGGACTCAATAAAATTCACTATGGAATTAGAGAATGAAATTGGAGAACTGCCCATGTTAGATTGCAAGCTACAAAGAATGACAGATGGTAGCATAAAAACAACGATATATAGAAAAGCCACACATTCTGGAAGATTCCTTGATTATTACTCAGCTCATCCACTCTCGGTAAAACGAGGATTAATACAGGGTCTTGCAGATAGAATACGTAGACTTACAACAGCACCAGAGGACCAGCGTAAAGAAATAAAAGTCCTATTCAAAATGCTACTCGAAAACAACTACCCTAGAGAATTTATAAAAGATAATATAAAAAAGAGAAAAAAGAGAGTAAAACCGGAGAATAACAAGAAGGAAGAATGGAGAAAAACAGTCGCAATACCATATAAAAATGGTACATCAGAGGCAATACAAAGAAACCTCAAAAATATCGGCATTCGAACAACCTTTAAACCGACAAATCTAATCAAAAATAAAATAAATCAACTAAAAGATCCCATAAAAATGATGGATAAAAACAATTTGATTTATAAAATATCTTGTGCTGACTGTCCAACTAAATATGTGGGGCAAACGTCCAGATCACTCAAAATAAGAGTGAATGAACATAAACGCCTAACTAAAGGTCAACCAACAGGGACACAAGCCTACAAAAATCTTGAAAAAAATTCATCCATAGCTGCACATGCGTGGGACAAAAACCACAATATCGATTGGGAGAATGTGTGTATTCTAAAAACAAACATGAACAAATGGAAAGAAAGACTCATAACAGAATCGATATTCATTAAAGTCACACCGGATACATGTAACAAGGGTGACTCAGTACAACTATCAACAACTTGGAATATAATTCTAAATACAAACACATGAATGAATGTGGAGTATAATTCTGAACACACATATGCACACACAAAACATGAATGAACAAAATAATAATAATGAACTATATATATGAATACAAATCATAAATGTGTGAATAAAACAATTCCAACAGTGGTGTGAACACGGGCAGTAATTTTGCTCGAAATATTACCAATAACAAAACTTATCATTGTGTGTAAACTATTAAAATATAATTATACTTTATTTGATCTAATCCACAATGCTCAAACTTTTTACTGATATTAATTCAACTGACGGTCTTCCCATTAAAAGACTGGCCAACAAACTCACACATTTATATCAAGCTGAATCTCGATTTATGAACCATCGAATTTTCAACATCAGATGCCTTAAAAATGGAATTATTCCTGTATACATGAAATTAAAATTACCAATATCTACTGATAAAGCAAATGCAGCGCTCACACATGCCTCAAAAGTATGCATCAAAGAAAACCTACGTGGAATTATACAAAAGCTATTCACGATAAGGAAAGATATTAATGAAATAAAAGAAAAATTGAAAGAAGTAATCGAAAAAGAAAAGTATGAAAGCATACTACAAGTTGCACAAAAACGAAAAGAAACTACTTATGAAAAAACAAAGCAGAAACAAATCAAAAAATTTAATAAACTCATGATAGCGAAAACTCCGAATGACAGACAAGTAACTAAAGCCAGTTGGATTGTAAACTTGTCAGACAGAAAGTTAACAGAAGCAGAGGAAAGTGTATTGATGAAAGGGATGAACTTCAATATCAGCAACAAAAAATTAAAACCTGAAGACATCATACCTGTAATTGAAACAGCACTCGAAGGATATGACAAGCAAAAAGCTGAACTGGTACGAGCACAATGTGCACTTACATTAAAAAAGCAAAAAGCAGAAAAACCAAATATAACGAAAGAGGAACTAAAAGCACTTCAAGACATAAAAGCAGACAAATCCATTGTCATTACTCAAGCAGACAAAGGAAACACAACAGTATTACTTAACAAAACAACATATAATCAAAAGATGAATGAACATCTACAATCTGGACCCTATACCATAATGACTAAATCAGCTGAAACGATCATCAACAAAACAATGAAAGAAACAGCAAATGTAGTTAGACAAATGAAAGAAGTAATCGGTAAGTCAAAATGGTTTGAAATTATGCCAAAATCCTGTAATGTACCTAGGATATATGGTAAGATAAAATTGCATAAAGAGGGATATCCAATAAGACCGATTGTAGACTTCAGAAACACACCAACGTATATGCTATCCAGATTTCTGTCGACAATACTAAGACCGACAAGAGACAACTCAAAAGCTAGAATAGTAGATTCATTTGAATTAGTGAGGCGAATAAAAACCACTAAAATAGATGAGGAAGAAATACTAGTTAGCTTTGATGTAAACAGTCTTTACACGAAAATACCCATTCAAATGGCCATGATTGCACTGAAAGAGAAACTAAATGAAGATAATGACCTGAAAGACAGAACACAGTTATCCGTAGAAGAAATAATAAAAGGGGTAGAATTCTGTCTGACAACAACATATTTCACATTCGAAGGAAAAATATACCAACAAAATGAGGGAGTAGCCATGGGATCGCCTATCTCACCAATTATAGCTGACATTTTCATGGATTATTGGGAGGAGAATGCCCTTAAACCATTCAGATCATCACTAAAATGTTGGTGGAGATATGTAGACGACACGCTAGTAATAGTGAAAAAAAACGATACTGAGAAACTTTTATCACACATAAACAAACACGTGGACTCAATAAAATTCACTATGGAATTAGAGAATGAAATTGGAGAACTGCCCATGTTAGATTGCAAGCTACAAAGAATGACAGATGGTAGCATAAAAACAACGATATATAGAAAAGCCACACATTCTGGAAGATTCCTTGATTATTACTCAGCTCATCCACTCTCGGTAAAACGAGGATTAATACAGGGTCTTGCAGATAGAATACGTAGACTTACAACAGCACCAGAGGACCAGCGTAAAGAAATAAAAGTCCTATTCAAAATGCTACTCGAAAACAACTACCCTAGAGAATTTATAAAAGATAATATAAAAAAGAGAAAAAAGAGAGTAAAACCGGAGAATAACAAGAAGGAAGAATGGAGAAAAACAGTCGCAATACCATATAAAAATGGTACATCAGAGGCAATACAAAGAAACCTCAAAAATATCGGCATTCGAACAACCTTTAAACCGACAAATCTAATCAAAAATAAAATAAATCAACTAAAAGATCCCATAAAAATGATGGATAAAAACAATTTGATTTATAAAATATCTTGTGCTGACTGTCCAACTAAATATGTGGGGCAAACGTCCAGATCACTCAAAATAAGAGTGAATGAACATAAACGCCTAACTAAAGGTCAACCAACAGGGACACAAGCCTACAAAAATCTTGAAAAAAATTCATCCATAGCTGCACATGCGTGGGACAAAAACCACAATATCGATTGGGAGAATGTGTGTATTCTAAAAACAAACATGAACAAATGGAAAGAAAGACTCATAACAGAATCGATATTCATTAAAGTCACACCGGATACATGTAACAAGGGTGACTCAGTACAACTATCAACAACTTGGAATATAATTCTAAATACAAACACATGAATGAATGTGGAGTATAATTCTGAACACACATATGCACACACAAAACATGAATGAACAAAATAATAATAATGAACTATATATATGAATACAAATCATAAATGTGTGAATAAAACAATTCCAACAGTGGTGTGAACACGGGCAGTAATTTTGCTCGAAATATTACCAATAACAAAACTTATCATTGTGTGTAAACTATTAAAATATAATTATACTTTATTTGATCTAATCCACAATGCTCAAACTTTTTACTGATATAAATACAGAGTTAATATCGCCCGTCCATTTTTGCATGCATCTCTGAGGTGGCAATGGATTTCAGGGTTTCGTTTATAATGTGCTGTGTTATTATATACCCAGACAATTTGCATAATAATAATGAGATTTGAGTTTCATTCCCAGTACGCAGTGCAGTACGTTAAAACTTATTAACCTTATTTTGCAGGTACGCGATGCTGATTGCCAAGTATCTTTAAAATAGCTTCAGTCATATGGAATGCCTCAAATTTTTATCAATCTCACTCAACAGCTGTAGGACAGTGGCACATTTCAGGGGATTAACAAAAAAGAACTCATTGAAGTCTTGGAAAAGAAAACAGAATTAAGAGAAGCCTATTTATTTGTGATGATATTTTTAGTTGTATTGTATTGGATTATATGACGGAGTGTCATGCGAGTGAAAAAAATAATACTCTGAACCGATATTGGGGTTCTAAAATATCTGGAATTTGCATATGATATTCGTCTAGTGTCACATAAACCCGATAATTCATGCGCAAAGACGGACGAAATGGTAATCAAGGCAGACGTTCCAACAGAACTGACAGCTATTGCATCCCATGCAATCATGATCTACTGTTTTACAGTAAAGCACATTGAACATAAAGTGTTGATGTCAGTATATTGATTTATGAACAAGTGAACTGGCATTTATGAATCATGGAGATCCACGAAACAATTGCTATGACACAACTTATATCTCAAAAAATACTAATGCTTTCACACAAATAAAAGTGTATTCATTGCATAAAGAGTTTTATTTATTGAATACCTGCCATTTCAAAATCCTTCATTTATATATTAGAAAAATGTTGCTTGAGTTATCAGAAATCACACATCAGGCAAGCAAGTTACCAATACACTTTTTCACGTGGATGTATGATCTCAAACTGATTTGAGCTGGTTCGCAGCAACCACTATCATCTGAAAAAAAGAAAAACAAATAGTATGAAAATATGAAAGTTTAACTTTCTGATTTGTTTATAAGTGATGATATGCTTGAATAAGAAAATGATGTAGTGAGTATGAATAAATTGAAAAATTACCATTTGCAAATCTGGAAAAGCAACGAGTTAGGCGAATAAATGCACATTTTCCTCTTCATCAGCTGTACATAATTAGGTAGTCCAGAAATCAAAATTACTACATTCATGCTAGCTAGTCCTCGTGGATTCTGAACATCACATTTACATTGAAATGGCGTTTAAACTTATTTATCATATCTATCACATACTATCTAACCTTCCACATACTCCACAAATACGACATCTACTTACAGTGAATGAAAATGGAATTCATATGAACAAGCAAAATCTGCGTATTCAAAAGAAATGTGTGGCTCCCCATTCATGGCTATGGCCAACTTCATAATACGTAATAAGTCTTACTTACGATTCTCCACTCCCCGTGTTATTTTATTCCAGCTACAACCACAGGTTATTCAATCAACGTGCTTTTGTCGTAGTATTATTTCGTGATTCTATTTGGTCATTCTGTTCTTCCTAGTCACCATTATTCTAGAAATTTCACCACTACAAAAAAAGTCTTGTTGTAACACCTTACGAGTATGTTTATCTTGTATAACCGTATTACGAACATCCCTCCATCAAAATTTTGACATCGTTTTACTAACATCAACTAGTTAATTATTGTAGTGTTTCCGAAAACATCCCTTTGTTCACTTAAAACCGTTAATTCCTATTCACTAAAATAAATACATACTTGGTATAAATTTGATGATCAACTACATACAAAAGTTTAGAGACAATGACAAGGAACTATTTGAAGAACAAGAATATATCATTGCTCAGTTTGTGCTCTTCAAAATAAAATATGTTTCAGATTTAGTAAGAATGCTACCAGTCTGTCATTCCTCCAAGCAATTCCGAGAAAGAGATAAGTTTGAACTTACCAAACACATGGAGGTATTGAGAAAGCCGCCAGCCATCATTTTGCACAGGTCCTACAAAATAAACATTGAATCTCGTGAACACTGGATGCAACCAAGCAGAATAATTCTAGGAGTTCTCCTGTACATTTGCACTCGGTGTTACTGAGTGGTAAAATTCAGAGCAACACAGATAATATAAATTAGAATAACTGTGTATTCACGAGATAAGTTAAACTTCTGCTATCCAAATGAAGACATCTTCAGCATTATTTCCAGGAATAACAGTGACTAATAGTAACTAAGGAGACGAAGTGTCGCTATAAATCTACAAGTCAGCATTTTTCTTGGTCGAATTTGATGCACAAATGTTTGATTCCTACGTTATATTAGCCATAATGAGTAAACGACTTAAAATGAAGTCTTTGCATACCATATAACCTGCATGCTGTGCAGATTTGACGAAATTGATCCAAGTCACTAAACTACCACCGAACAAAATTTTGTGTGGTCTATTCACTTCACACCAAATAGAACTGACTGGCTGTAAACTTCAGATTTTTTTCCTTCCTTCACTTTCCCCAGTGGAACATAGGGCTTCAAGCTAGTGGCTTGAAGTTTCTGTAGCAGTATTTATTTTTACAGAATAAGGTTGCTAGCTTCATGTCCAACCTTTCCTCTTTACCAGCCTTATTTATGGCTTAGCGAGGTGAAGGAGTGCGTCGGCTGGGGATCAAACCCCGGACGGTTCGGCGAGCGTCCTAACCACTATGCCACCGACGCTAATTGCACTCTAAACTGTAAACGAATCGTAATACTACTGGTTGCTCTCTCAACCGCGTCATATAAAGTTCATATATGTTCCCCTTAAATAGTACCGTTTTTCAATCTTGTAATGGCTGCCAGTCTCTTGATACGCCATGTGGGTAGAAGGATTTTCTATTGTTGTGGACATTCCATTTTATGGATATTCTCATATGCCACCACAAAGAAAGTATAAGTTATCCATCTTTGTCTTCCCCATGTTATCAATCTTTGCTTTCACCATGTTGCACTGAACTACACGTCGATTTTGCAATGAATTTTGGATAAGGAGGTCTGGCGGGATACTCAAAAACGACATTGAATAGATCATTTTGCACCCATGATGATTTCAACGATTCACACATTTTCCTTCAGTGAAAAAAACGTCATTCATTTAAACGGTTTTTTAACTAGCTGATCGTAGATGAAATTAATTCGTCTTTCTAAGACTGGACACTTCCATGTCATGTTTAGTTATGAATACATCGCACAGCGATTAAGAATAGTTTACCGTATGACAAGGTTTTGTTTCCCTCATCCATTGTAATGTGAAAGTTTCGAGTAAAAGGAATGCGGGGAATCGTGGATATTTGATATTCCATGCAAATTGTAAAATGACTACAGCCGTTCAACAATAAACGTCGATGTGTAATAAATCATTTGAAAATTCAACTAACTCACCTCATACCAAGGTATGAACGTCAAAACCACCAAAAATACCGCACAAATTATCGATAAAACCGCCAGTACGATAGCCACAATTATTTTCAATCTTCTTCTCATGAAGAATATAATAATCATCAGTAAATCTTCCAGAATAGTGAACATGAATAAATATGAACATTTTAAACAAATGACTTTGCAGTCTACCAAGCAGACTTCTGACGACCATAGTAAAAGCTGTTGACAAAATTAATTTAAAAAAGTACAAATTAATGGAACAAATTAATTGGTCTTCATAAATATTATGTTCAATCTAATTTCAACCTCATTCAGCATGAAAAAAATATGCTATATCGGACTTCACAAGAATCACTTCTTCTTAGTCACGTTCGCACAAGACTCGATTCGTCGGTAAAGTCTCGTGACTACGGGTAAAATATAAACCTACTGATAATATGCCGATTTGGTATATTTTATCAGTGGACTACCGAAACTGGTGGCTATAGTTGAGTTGCTTTACTGACTCAGAAATCTATCATGTTTTTCGATTGCAAATTTAATGATGCTCAGACTTGTATTCTGTTATTACAAGACACGCACACACTATGGATGATTTTGGACAAAAGTTGTCCACTGCTACATGCTTCCTTGTCTAAATAAATTCTATATTTCAATTTTATAGTGAGATGGTCGCTATAAGCGAAACAATCATTAATAAAGAAACTGGCCTTATTAAGTTGACATTCAGGAGAACTTACCAATATTGCAAGGAATATTTGTTCAATTCTCCAGTTTATGCAGTATTTGAGGGACAGTATTAAAACGATGACGAAAAGAAGTGCTCTGAAATAAAATTTGAAACTGAGGAGCGAATTTCAGTGGTGTAATTTATCAGCATGTATATCTTTCCGTAGTTTTATCACTGCACATCAATTATTTCTATGGTCTATCACACAGTGTAGAAGGATTATTCCTGGCACTAATTATGCAACAGAATACATTTCTGGCCATCACGTTATCTCACGCTTCAGGCTAACTGATTGTTTTTTATCTAGTTGAACAATGTGCATGTAATCACTGGTTAACATAAACGCATATAAAAGTAAATTGCATAAATGGCTTTTATCACTCGAATATAGTAGAACGTGGAACTCACATGCAAGTGACTGCTTCAACTTACCACAATTTCATCGCAAAATATTTCTCTGATCTAAAAAACAAGAAATTCATTATAAGTTTCATGAGAAACGATATTTCTGAGGCTTTGTTTTGAAATGGCTGATCATTCGCACTCATACAATGTCGAATTCGGACAGTTCACTCAGTTGTCAATGTGTTTGTCACTATTTATACTATTTTAAGCATGAAATCACAGCGTTATATTTTTTATTTTATTATTGGTTCAGTGATGCTTTCATGTGAACATCTTCTATTCAACCAAGTCTCTATAAAGTTTAAAACTAGTTGTTTATTTCATATATATACATATAATATATCGAAATATTTTACAAACACACACCCCTTAAGTGAAAGAAGGCTACTAATATATTCGAAATTTCCTTAAACGACAGCAAAATTATATTACTGAAAATCCAAAGAAGGTGGATAACTTACTAGTGAATAAAGTATGACTCACCTTTAAACGTCAGACTATTGATATGCGAATAATTCGCTCATGTTCAAATGTATCCATCTCATTCTTTGAAACTTTGGTCCAAATATCCAGACAAAAACGTTTAGATATAATATTAACTCAAAAAATAAAACTTGATACAATGTACTTTAAAATTATTAAATGTAAAAAATGCATACAAACATAATAAATAATGACTTCAAGTACATTCGTAATTGTTCTGAATTTTCCGTTATTTTGATTGGTTGCTCATCGCATCACCGCATATCCGCTGAACGAACTTACATAAAAAGTTGCTATACCTGTTGAAATGTGCCAGGTTTTTCCCTAATAAAATCCAGAACCAAGTCTCTTTACTTCTGACGTTAAATTCAAAATATGGAAGCGCTATTGACATTCCAGTTAAAGATTTCACTCAGCCTCGAATATCCCTATGAGTCAATCTCTGAACAGGTCTATTTGAGGTATTTTAAAAACCCATGGACAGTATAATGAATAAAATCAAAATATCTACAGCTGATCTACCACATCGAATGAAGTTACTCCTTGTTTGTAAAGGGGAAGATTTACCCCCATTACGAATAATTACTGAATAGTGAGAACTGAGTGGCTCGAATTATATTGCCTCCAACCGGTGTCATTCTCAACATTTATGCAGTTCTATTTATTTAAGGAAGTTGCGTTTGCTATTTAATCCAAAATAGTAACGGAGGTTATTAAAGTTGATAATAATTTTCAACTTGATATGAATGTTTGAATCTGTGAATTTAGACTACAGAAGGCATGGAAACAAAATAATTTACGATTCGAAAATGACTGGGAAAATGTAAAACGAGCACCGCTGTAGACATTATGAGCATAGAAGATAATTGATGACAGGAGACTTAATGTCACAGTAAAAATTTTCATAACTGTAAACGGCACAAATTACACCAACTGATGTGATAAACACTATGAAAATGAGGAATGGGAAAAAAACTTAAAACTTTTCCAAATTCATCTAAACCACATAATGGAAAACCCTACTAAAGCTACTCAAAGTGAAGACGACAATGAATACAACCTGAGAGACATTGAAGGTACATCGACTATCGATCAATTTGAAAAAGCGAATAAGCAAAAGTTTTACCTGATTCGATATACTCACACATGGAACAAACTACCAATGGGAATGAGGCTAGCATGCACATTAACCCGCTTTCAAAAGATACCAAGTGAACAACTAAAGGAATTTACAAGTAATATTAATACCGATTCCCGTGTAAGCGCTTCAGAAGTCATAGGTATATTCAATGTGTTTTTTTTTCCTCTATTTACAATTTCAGACTAAAAAGCAGCAGTCGAGACATAATCTCTCAATTAAATAAGATCCTCTTTGTTAACGTCTACCTGATACAAAGGTGAAACAAAGCGGACACGCGTGTGAAATATAAGAAAACAAATGAACAACATGCTTCAGTTTCGCATGGAAGAATATGAGATTCATAGACATTATTTTATCAATAATTATGAATAATTATATAAATTCACGATTCCCGCTGATACAACTCAAGGCCTGAAACCTTCTCAATATCGAGTAAATGTTGGATGGTTGTAGACGTTCACGAAATAATACATTTAAAGAATACATATAATGGCCCTGAACACATCGATACTTTGCTGAATATGTTAAAATTTCAGAGTAACCAAACCCCACAAGAAAGGGAACTAACCAAATCCGCACTGTGGACATGATGTAATACTCCTCCAGATACTCATCTATATGTTGATAAAGCTGACGCATCTAAGCCATAAGATATACAGGGCCAATAAACCTGGACATCCAAGCAAAAATGAAAGTATACTGGATGTAGCATTAGAATTCTCACCAAGTAATTCGATAGTAATATTTAGTTCCAGAATTCTCCACTCGTCAATTTTCAATAGTTCGCAAATATTTGGTTGCTCGCCGAGTCTAAACTAAACAAAACTCACCTGTCGCCTTATAATTTCAAATTATTATTTCTTCACATATTTAAGTGGGCACTAACTGCTGTGGTGTCTTGCTTTTTTTATTTTATTGCCGAAAGCACTATCGTCGACCAACTGACAGAAGCTTTACTAGCCATTTCAACACTTTTGTCAATAGCCTACTGTATCTATCACATATAAGACAGCTTTCAGTTGTTACGCGCGTTTTCACCAAATTCAAACACTTATGAAGCCTAGGAATATATATATATATATACGTCACGTAAATTGATTTTAGCAGTCTGAAGGGTGCGTTGGTGGTATAACGGTTAGGACGCTCGCCCACCATGCACATGGTCCGGGGTTCGATCCCGGCACACGCACTCCTTTACCTAGCTAAGCCAAAAAAATGCTGTCAAGAGACAAGGTTGGGCATGAGGCTAGCAACCCAATCCTTTAAAAATAAATATTGCTACAAAACTTCAAGCCACTATCTTGAAGCCCTATGTTCCACTGGGGAACGTGAAGGAAAAAAAGTCATCAAAGTGAAATCATGCCATTACCATACCATATATATGTATCCAATGTGAGTGAATAATTGTAAATATGCTTATTATGCATATACAAATCTCATATCAAATTGATGACGTCCGTAAACTGGTGTCGTTTATGTACAAAAATAAGAATATGTATTATTATTACTATCTTTTGTAGCTGAAGATGATAAAAATAATGGGAGGGGAACACAAAACCATAGAAAACTAAAAGGACAAGCGTATCAAGACTCCTAACTTTCTTTTTATTGTAACCTCATCCCCCCACTCACGTTTTCATCCCCCTTTATAAACACCATTGTTGAAATGATGTCTAAGCACTTCCATTTCACACGTATCTCTCCCGAAAAGAACCAAATAACTGAAATATTCTAATGCCTTTTTCCCAACGATTTGAAAAAGAAGAAATATCCTCATGCAATTAAAAGTTATCACCATCTGCCTTACCTTAATTTATTAATTTCCTAATGAGAAGAAACTTTTTATTTATAGAAGAAATCTGTCACGAATCTACTTCTGAGTAGCCTGCTTATATCACTGAGTCACCCCGTTTGACATTGAGAAAATAACTCAGAATTCACCAAGTTTTGTTGTCTTATTTGTACTTCAGTTAAGTTCTTGAGTAATAACCGTTACTCATTCGTATCATTTTTTTTAATTTCAAATTGCTGTTATGCCTTCATCAAAACTGATGAGGGAAGAATATTCCACGGAGAACGCTAAAATTTCATCAATTTAAGTCAGCACATTGTTCAAAATGAAGCTAACAAGATTATCGTAGTAGCTGAATTTCTGCTACGTAGAACATCACAAAGAATAAATGTCAGTCGTCACATATCGCCTTTATTTGAGTGTGATTGGGATAACAGCGTCAAAACAGATCAAGCATATCGACAGCGTTGAAGTCAACAATTTCACTAGTTTATTTCATCCCCAGTTATAAGTGACTACTGATCATCGTGGAGTACAAGGAAGTGAAGGTGAAACAGCAGAAGACAAGAGATGGAAGTTAAGGTATATTTTCAATTGATAAAACAGCCATTCATATCTATACAGTTTACATTCTTGAACTAATCACTGGGCGTGTGACTTTGATTAGACGACATGAAACAGAATGTTCAGATATCTAGTGAAATGTGGGAAAGGTATTCTGACTACAGCAACGAATACGATGTTCAAATACATACAGTATTCTGTTGCTAATGCAATATTGAACTGAGGAGATACGTGAGAATAATCATCCGTTGCAACGCACTGTCTGCATTACACCGGCACAAAGGAAATGATGGTGGCAGATATGATGAATGACACACAGTCGATAGAACTTTTCAAAGAATAGTAAGCGACATGAAGTGATGATGCCCGAATAACACTGCACTGCTTTATCACCTAAATAGCCAGCAGTAAATGATCGCATACTACATTCTTTCATTGGCTTTTAAAAGCATCCATTTTTGTTACAAGGTTTCTTTTCGTATTACCAAGTGCATATACTTTATTCGAGAATTCCTTACTGACGTTGGATTACTTTGTATTCCTTATTAAATGTCTACTTGAATTCCACACCATTTCTTCACAGACTTATTCAAATATTTATGCAATCGTTTCATTCTCGGAATTCAGTGGCTAAGGATGATTAGGAAAATCAACAGTGACTCAAAATCTTCAAAAATATCATTCATATCTGAGGAAATTGCTGCGCCTAGTTGAAACTGAAAGTGATGGCACACAGCCATGGTTTTTATTTCAAAAAACTGGAAATATGAACCATCTCCTGTTCATGCCAAATGGAAAGTGCTTGTTTGTACAAAACACGAATTACTGTGGAAGTTGCTAAATACAATACAAAGGAGATAAGTAGCGTCAAACGTATTTCAGGGAACTGGCAAATACGTGTGCTATATTCTAGAAACACAAATTAAAGTGCACCATGAAGGTACAGAGATTTGATTACATGTATGTAAATTTGTTAATTTGCTTCTTGGATAATTACATCCGTCTGTTACTTACACTTGTTGTGAAATGCAATATTTGTGCAGCTTAAGTGAGATGTTGATCACTATACCTTTTTCATCGAATCTACGCCTAATAATGTGCAATATGAAAGAAGAAATATTAATGCCAGATATATGGAAATATCATGATCAGTAAGTGCAGAGGATACGAAATAAGGAAATTATGTAAACGTGGTTCGAAAGTTACTTTAATCATTAACTTGATATAATTATGTACAGTAGATTGTGTTCGATATGATCTCGCTAAATTAGGCTGTTTCATTGGGTGCTTTGATCGAATA